TTTTTTTTTTTTTTTTTTTCTTTTTTCTCCTGCCAGTATGTTTACTATTTGGTGAGGTCAGAGACTGACTGCAGCAACCTGACATGCCGTGATTAGCCAGGGGAGCAAGAGGTGTGGTTTGTACACAACTCACCTGTCTGTGCGCAGGTAGATTAATGTCTGGCTGATACATCCCACTTTTTAAGAGGGTTCTTGAAGCCTTCTTACTTCGTAACAAATACCCATTTGTTTCTTTCCATCACTGGACCTGTTAGGCTCAGTTTTTATTTTTCCTGATTATGTGTGAGAATATCTTTTTGGATGTGGGCATTTAGTTGATTGAGGGTTTGTAATGGAATACAGAGCTTGTCATCTCTAGGTATTGAATCAGAAATCAAACTAGTTTAAATCCACATAAAAGTTACTGCTGCCTATTTGACTTTATTGCTTGGCCTTTTCCATTCTCCTTGGGAAAAGAAAGCATCAAAAACCCCAATGATCACAGTTAATAGTAGTTGATGTTCTGCTTGCTCTGTTTTCTTCAGAGAATCTGAAGATTGAATGGGCATGGAGACCAAGCTGTCACTGTAGTCCTGTAGGCTGATTATCCAAGTTAGGAAAAAATGCATTTACTTGTCATAAAAGATGTATATTTGATATCACTGATACTCATGTCCTGAGTTTATTAACAGGGAAGGTATTCAGCATCTTATAGCATGAACTTTCACTTCTGACCAACGTGTCTGAGAGTGAAGGCTGATTTCATTTCTTTGCATGTTCAGTCTCTAAGTTGTGAATGTCAAAAGCATTCCAAGAATTTCCATGATACTGGCACCTGTCTTTTAAACAGTGGATTCAGAATACGAATTTATTCATGATAGCCATTGATCAGCCAATGAAATGCAACTTAACTGGCAGTTTGGCTTAAGGAAGACAATAATTCATAAAGGCCAATTCATGCAAAGCCCTGCTTTCAGGTGAGCTTATTTCTATTTAAAAGCTTAAGCCCACCACTATATTGTTTTAATTACACAGACAAAGCAAACAGAATAGAAATTGAGAAAACTTCCCATTGTAAAACTGCTCATCCTGCAGCGCACGTCTAGGGAAAAGTCCACCTGTGTGCTTGCAGCTCTAAGAAATGTCGCTATGGCATACTGTCAGATACCAGTTTATTTTGATCTTGAGATACTGTTAAAACTTGCTACTGTAAACACCAGTATAACTTTTTTATACTGGCCAAGGTACTGGAATAGGACATGGTCTATATAGAAAATCACAGTAGTATAATTTTTGCGGAGTGTGACTTCTTAAGAATAGTTACACCAGAACTGACTTCCACAGAATGGTGCATTTTCATTCTCAGATAGGAGTGAATCTCCTAGTGTAATGTATCTTTACGTTAATATTAATGCATCCATGTGAACAGACTGTAATGCTTTTTAAAACAGTAGTACAGATAACGTTGGCAGGCTTTAAGGAATTTTACATTAATAAAATTACTTCCACACCAGGGGAAGTAACACTATAGTTATTGCACGAAAAATTCACACTCCAAAGCACTTATCAGTATAATAATGAGGTGAATTGCATCTTACGGATGTGGGAATTGAGCCAAAGAATAAAATAATTAGCCAGAGTATTCATTACAGCTATTTAACCTGTGCAGAAATACAACTAGGAATTTATAAGCTCCTAAATTTGGGCTAATTTCTCTAGATCATGCTACTTAAAATTTGAAAGTAGGACCCTGTGGTGAAAGACTCTGTATGTCATTACAATCCCATGAAATATCTAGGCCCACAGGTGATCTTAATTTTCAAAATATGCCCTGCCTCATAATAGAAGTCAACATTTTAGCCATACTTTGTGTCTAACTGCTTAATCATGCACAGTTGTGATTTAAACCAGAAAACTTGTATGTCATCCCAAAACTTAGGTTTACATTGCCACATCCATTTGAGTTAAATTACATATACATGGGGTGAAAGGAGACCAAGAAGTTAACTGCTCTGTTGCTGTACCTTTTTGGTTTGTTTTTGTTGGCTTTTTTTTGATCAAAAGTTGTCACCTGTAGAAAACAAACCATTGATACTAGTTCTAAAGGAGTATAATACTAATTCTGGAGGAGTACCGCTGTTACCTCAATTTTGCCATTGCAATAATTTTCAAGGTTAACACACTCTTACTTTCCTAGTTGTTAATTGTAGGAAGCAGAGATCTGCTAATTTTTATTATTATATTATTTCTTTCCATCCAATTCACTTAGTAGAAAACCTTTCAATTAGTTCATCTGACATAGATAAATTAATTGTCTGGTCCTTGAACTAATGCTGTCTGTGACATCTCATGGACCTTGAATATTCTGATTACAAAATATTTTTGTTCCCCAGGCTTGGAGCCTGAAGTCCTAAGTCTTGTTTTGTATTTGCTAATGTTGAGAGTCCACACAACAGTTTATTTATACAGATTAAAGAACTGAATGAACACTGTCAAATTAGTTTTACTTTAAGATCGTATGTTGAAGTTGATGACAACTTCAAAACAAAAAAAAAGTAATGCTGAACTCATTCAAAGCTAACACTTCCGTTTTTAGCAAAGAAGTGTTCCTAAAAGCATTTGTTGGCATAGTTGTGTTTCAGGTTTTTATAATTCATGAAAGAAAAATAATGTAACTCTATTAAAGTTTGTACCATGCCATTTATATGCAGTTGAGTCATAGATGTGCAGGAATGATGCTCATGTACTTCTCAAAGTCTCAAACACTATGTGTGTGTAATACTCAATAAAATTGAGTGATAGACAAGAAGAAGGTGAGATCTTTTAAGTCAAGTAGACATATGAATGAATGATTTTCACATGCCAAAATACAGGTGGGCTTAAAGGAAACACAAAACATAACCCAAGTAAGCATGTGTTTAAGCAGTAAAGGAGGGCTTACTCCAAAAGTTTCTTTTGTCAATGCATTTTCAGTTGCATACTGATACAAGGTTTTTAATAATAATAATACAGGTCTGTTGATTTACTAATTAGCAACATGAATTTGTAATTATTTTTGGTTAGATTTTTCCAAATGTCAGAGAGGGATAAATATCCATTTTCTAATTTACTGTCACAAGCAGCTGAACGTCCACCACATTTTGCCTCATTTAGAAAGTCCAGTTTTAATTCTACATATAGACCAATGAAGTCTAGATACAGATATGAATTACTTTTAAGTCATTGTTATTAAAATAAGAAAATAAAAGACAACCTTTATGACAGGGGTTATGTCAAATTTTACGATAGTGGTTTTTACATACAATATAAAACATATTAAAATATTTAATGTTTTCAACTCTGAAAATACATGTTTTTTGCTGTAACAACAATGACTATACAAAAAAAATGTAAAAGGCTTAGTTAAGTTAATAACCTGAGTGACTGTGACTTAAAGCATCTGTATTAAGAACATTGCAAATTCTGCTTCTTTATTCTATGCAGATTATCTGGAAAAGTGGTTTATTGGCAATTGCAAACATACTTACAGTTATTATGTTTATTATAACCAGTTATGGCCAATGGTTTTCTGTTTTGGAATCTTCAGTATTCTGTAAATATTGAACAAGCTGTAATATTAATATAAATTTTGTATTTAAAATTGTTCTTCTTCAGCAGTGTAATCTTTAAAAATAATAACTTCCTTTGTTTGCAATTTACAGACAGTTAAATTTAGTTCCTGGACAGAAGGTTCTTTGATGTAAATTGTCTAAGACAGCTCATAATAACATTGCTTGGTGTTTTTCAGGCACAGTAGGGAAGGCACCAACAATACAAGCCAGCAAAAGTCCTGGGGGCTTTGGTGTTCAGGTCCCTGCAAATCAGAAAAACAAGCTGAATGACCCTGGAGGTGGTTCTTTCAGGTAAAAAAATAAAAAATAATAAAAAAAAATGCAGGGGGGTGGTAGGGGGGGATCTTAAATATACAATAGAATTTAGAATTGGCTTAACACCAGAGGGCAGTGTTTTACAAGAAGTCCTGCATTTTCTTACTGTGATTGGTTGACAATTTTCTTTCTTAGCTCTATTTTAAAAAAAGGGAGGGGGTCATGACATGTCTTGGGGATTTTTCTCTAAATGCACCTTTCAGTGTTTAGTAAAGCCTTTAATTCTGTGGATTATAATAAAACTTCTGGTAAATGGAATTACGCGTATGAAGTTTTTAAAAAATACATGGTTGGTTTTGTCTGTCGGATTCTAATGTTCATATGGAACGTGTCTCGCTGAGAAGATACTAGTTGTGACGACAAGGCATCGTGTCGATAGGCTTCTGCAGCCATCCCCTCAGCATAGAGAAAATATTGTATGGTTTTGGTAGTAAGGTTTGGGTGCGGTTTTGTGTGTGTGTGTAGGATTGTTGTGTATTGGTTTTATATAGAAGACAGTGCTGTATATATTCTTCACATGCTTACTTAGGTAGCAGAGGTTGGGGTGTTTTGCGGGTCCCTTTAGTAATCGGATGCTGTAAAGGTTCAACACAGTGGCATTGATGCATTGAGCTGCTATTGTACTTTTGTATAGTTCTGTTGTACTTCAATCTTTCATTTTATATATATTCTGGATATTTTTACTCTTTGTAGTGAAAAGTTAATCTGTGTTCACTGTATTTTGCTTTTGCTACCACTGATGAAAGTACATTTTATTTGTGTTTAAACATTTTCTTTCTTTGTTAAATGACAAAATACTGCTGGATTTTCATTTTCGTCTTCTGGAATTCCTGTGTTGCTCTGACATCATCAATCCAGTAATTAATTTTCAGGCTTATGCTTCTGCAGGTGAAGTAAAAGAGAATTTGTAGCTCTTTGAAATATCTCTGCTTTGAGGCATGTCAGTATTGCAACTAATAGTGGTAGTACTTAGTATTAATCTAGAAGCAAAATAATTCAATTTTTTATTTTCCAATGCTTTTGCCTCCCACTGAGTATTTAAATGATTTAAAATGTCTGTTGGGTTCAATTGTACTGTCTTAATAAGTATTTTTTATGTTTGTAAGCAACATGAGCATTTATTCTTCGTTAGTATAGCTTTCAATTTTACATACACCAAAAGGGACAGCATTTTTTTAACTGGATGTTGTAAACTGTGCCAGGATTGATTCTTGCATTCACTTAGTTTATACATGGAATATATTAGGTTAGCTGGAATTGTTAATTTTCCCTTGGGGAGAAGCAAATGCTCAAGGCACTGATTGATAAATCAATAAATCTTTAGTGAGTTTGGTAAATAAGCTGTCAAGGGTGTATGTCATTTTTCCTCTAGAGAACAAATTTTAGTCAGAATGAATGTGTTTGTTTCCTTGCATTGTTTTCTCCTTCAAAATAGTAAGACACAAAGCTGCATTTAAATAAGTCCATAAAATTGCAAGGATTTATTAAACAGCAGCAAAGATCAAGCTTTTTCTTGATATCTTAACAAAGAATTCAGTTGTTTGCATATTTGCATTTCAACCCCTAACCTCTCCTGAGGACAAATAGATGTCTGACTATTAAGCCTAAAGGCACAGAGCTGGAAATCTGTATTAATCCTCTGAATGCTGACTAGTTTTCCTCAACATTCCCAGCGTGTGTGAAGAATGTGTTTTTAGCCAGAAGGCAAACTGGCATCTAAAGCAAAGCAAGAATTTTGAAAAATAGTTGTGTTATGTATAAATTTATTTTGCCCTTAGTGTTTTATTATTGCATATTTGTTTCATTGTTTTATATTCTGCTTTCTTTAAAATAACTTACTTGAGCTTTTCACTATTGTGAGCAAAGTGTTGGTCACTGGAAATGGCAATGTGAACTTCATTATTTTCAGTTTCTTCTATTCTGGACTATGGGAAGTACAGGAAGGAATTACATAAAAGACATAGCAATTAGGAATTTTGCAAATTACAGCTTAGCCTTTAGCAGCAGCATTTATTAATGAATTGTAAGACTGCTTACATGAGATCACTGGATATTCTAGTAGCTGTTCTATGGCACAGAGTTTTCAACCCAAGACTTCTGCAATGCAAAGCTGTTGTATTAATGAACTTTATGTCACCTTTCTTGGTATTAAAATTTGCTGTTGCTAAATTTCTCAGAACTACAGACAACTCCATTTAGTTGACTTTTCAACTATGTTAATGCCTAAGGATGGAAATTTGAATTGCATTTTTTGAAATTTTTTGTTTGTTTTACAGTAGAGATCTGGACTTAAATTTGTGCCATAGTAGTCCAGCGAGAGGTTTCTATAGTCAGAGAGATGAAGCAGAAGGCCCACTGAAGTCTGCTGGGGGCCTGCATATTTGGCTACAACTGCTGTGTACATCATCATCTAGTTTGGTAACCTCAGAGCTCCATCTAACATAACCTACCACTGATGACAGAGAAAGTAGCAGACTTCCGAAGGAATTATTACCCATAGTTGAGATAGTGGCCAATATAAAGAACTAGTGGAAGCATTTGTTTCCCCTCATATTGAGTCAGAATAATTTCAGTTGGAAGGGACTTGGGAGGTCAACTAGTCCAACTTCTGAATTGGAGCAGGCTTGGTTAGACTGGGGACTTGTCCAGTTCTACATATATCCAAGGATGGTGATAACATGTTTGTACTCTTGTGTTATCCTACCACTTCCAACTGTGTTGGCTCAGTGGCGTTGCAAGTAAAATGAGGCAAGAAGTGGACAGAACATTCCCTTAATGTGGGTGAAGATAATATGTTTGCCATAGTGTACCAGCTAGCCAGATGCTCCTTCCTTTTCACAACTTTTCTTGCTCTGAAACAGTATTTTGAAGTTGCATATAACCTCTTGGAGTCTGTCAGTATCAGGTTTTATACACCCAGTGTGATGGGTGTATATATTTTTCAGAATCAGTTCTGTGAAGTGACTGAGGTCATTTGAAGCTTATCTTAGTATTCATATTTTATGCTGCTGACTGGCAACGTTTTAAAGTAGAGTCTACCTGGGAAGAAAAATCTTGTTTTCAGACTTCTTTTGTCTAGCCAAAAGAATCTGTTGCCTGTTATTTTATTTTATTTTTTTAATAAAAGTTTAGTAACATAGTTCTGGCAAAATGCCTCAAAATGCATGATGTTACACCTAGTAATGTGCAAAGCAGCTTGTCCTTTAAGAAGAGATAGAAAGCAAATGTAGGTGTTAAAAGGATAATCTCAAAATGGTATATGATGTAAAACCTTAAGCTTTACGCTTCTTTGCTTTTCCAAATAAATATTTCAAGCTATAAGGTGATTGTGTATTTTTTCCATATTTTTCAAAAGAAAGAAAAATGCTGACCACAAATGTGGTGTGTTCTGTCATTGCTTTTGCTTATCAGTGAGAAGATCCATCAATAGACCATGAATGAATTGTACAACAAAGCAGTATTAGGGAGAAATTTCAAATCAAGCTTGAAAGTCAGAATAAGCATAATAATAAATTTCTGTAAATAGAATTTATGCCATTATAAAATGTAATATAGTAATGGCTGTTACTGTAATTTCAAGTCACTGTTTATATCCCGTGTATTGTCATTGATCTCTGATCCATGGAATTTGTAGACTTGCTAAGTGTCTTGCATCTTGTCCTAACAACATGAAATTTCACTGTTGGGAGAGGGGGGAATCAGTAGTTTAATGTTGTCTCAGTTGCTTTATGTGTTCTTACAGCTTATTTGGGAGCAGTCCAGTATTGCAGATTTGGATGTCATTGGCTCAAATCTTCCAAAGCACTTGAGAAAGCAAAACAGTATGCAGTCATGCGGTTAAGATTTGTTCATAAAGAAAATGCTACCCGATTATTATAATGGCTTGTCTTAGTTTAAAACAAATCTTTAAAGCATGTTTTGGACAACTGTACAAATATTTTGTTTTTTCTTTCTTATTTTCAAATGTCTGGGGTTTTTTTTGTAATAGCACGAGTGTTTTTTAATGAAGAGGAGAGGGAGAGGTGTTACAAGAGGTTGAAAATAGGAGGCAGAATTGAACTCTTAGACTACCGTAAGATGTAGCTTGTGTTTGGGAAGAGTTTGAGAACCCAAGCCATCTTCTTAAAAATAGCATGTGTGTTGGAATGTTAGATTTATCCCACAAGACTCAGAATTCAATAAAAAATAGAAATGATTACTGAAGCAGTATAATTAGTATGAGCACAGTAATGCATGCCAAGTAACATGAAATTGTTAAATACTGTGCTGGGACGAAAAGGGAAAGATAGACAGTAATCATCAGTCTAGACGACCACTGGATGGCATCTTTGTTCCACGGAATGACTTCTGAAAACTCACTCATCTGGACTTCAAGGTTGACTTTTATAGGAAATTGTTTGGCAAGAATGCCAGCCCTCTTTATATATAAGCGTGTATGTGTTTCAGTATCCAAACCTAAGCTCTTTTTTGTGATGATATTCCTCAAAGTCAAAAAGATTGAATAGAGTTTTTCCCATTAGACTGAAAAAATTGTAGTCCCATTGATTTTGATAATTTCATTGGAATCCTGTTTTGTGCCCAAATTAATGATCTGGTTTTATTTCCGACAATATTTGTTTATTTACAATGTGGTCACAGATCTGTACTCTAAAGCAATACTGGAGCAGCTAAAATGCTAAGAAGGAAGGTAAAAGATTGATTGTACTTTCTTCAGCTATTAAATAAAAGTAGAGATAAGTATAAACTTTTCTTAAAAATTGTGTTCTTGAAGTCAAGAGTGCTGTCTTGATTTTTGTATGGATGATTGCTTGAAGGAGATGAAAGTACCTCAATCCTGGCAATCTGATCTGGAAATACGGGGTAGAGACTGTATCACTTGCCGCTAGCCAGATTGTGCGTAACTGTGTGATAAACGCTTGCGAAAGCAAGTCAGATCACGGGGGCTGTATGTAGAGAAAGCATATGAGCGTCCACTCAGTTAATATTTTATCAAGATCCTTTGAGTCCTTGTGCTCAGGTCCCCTCAGTAAGCAGCAGTACCCTGGTGCTGCTGGCGCCCACAGGGCAGCAGTGCTGCCTTCACACCCACAGAGGTGTGAGGCTCCACTGGGAATCAATACTGGATTTTTTTTTTTTTAACTGCATGAGCTGGTTAATGTTTTGTAGTTTGGTCGGTTTTAGTTTAATGTTGAAATTCTGGGCTCAAGTCTTGTTTTCCTAGTAGCTTCTACTATCTTACGTGGCTTTGAGTTTGTGTTATGATAACTACATTTACATGAATTTGGTTTTGCCATGGTTTAAAAGGCCTGCTGGGTTTGGGCCTTGTGAGTCCTGGGTAGACTACCTTGGGTGCTGCTCATTCGGTTTCAAGTGTTGAGGTGTTGAGCCTCCAAAATCTTAGTTTTTCCCCTTTTGCAGTTTTAGTTGCTGTTTTTCACTTGTAGTTAGAATCTTTTGAACTTGTCACTGAATATTTAAGTCACTGTTAGTTCTTATGTGGCCAGGTACATATATCGGCTGTGGTATTTGATGGCAGTCTCACAACTGGTTGGACAAGGCCAAAGAGTCAGCTGTGCACTGAATGCATGGGAGCCCAGTTTCTTCACAGGAGCTCTTGTGACCCTCCTATAAGAATCCCATACATACCATGTGACATGTAAAAATGGAAATCCTTTAGACTCAGAATGAAATTCCTGAGGATAGTGTCACAAAATTGATCTCTTGCCTTGATGGTTTTCATGCTAAGAGAAAGAATCAAGTGCTTAATACTTGTGGAAAACAATAAAAGCTCATTTGTGTAGCATTTTTCTGACAATCATTGTAAAATTTTCCATTTTCTGCCTCAAGTGCTCAGCACACTTCTCCAGGTTTATACAAATGAAAATCTCTTTTTAATTTCTTCCTACAAGAGAAAATAAACCCAATATCTAACTAACCATAGCAGTCTTCCACCAAAATAGGCTGCTTTAGTGCAGATATCAAGGAGAGTATGGGAGGACAGGGAGGACCTAAATAACGGATTTCTAAATTTCTCTCCTTTTGTTCTCAGGCCTTACTTGTAGCTTTTGGGTTTTGATGTAGGCGTTAAAAGTTGTTACAAGTGACACAAAGTATTCTAGGGTGCATAGGATAACATCTATACAATATTTTTTTAAAAATCTTTTAAATTAAGCTTTTATTTGTTTGCTTTATGCAGTAGGAGGAGTCTGCACTTGGATGTACGTGGATCTTTTCCACATACATATTCTCAAAGGTTGTGTATCGCTCCTAGAATATGCTGAAATACAGTGTTCGTGTCGGTAATGACTCCTAAACAGAATGTGCTAAAAACAGATGGTTGTTTCCACAGTTATGAGTCATTCCTCATAGAGGTAGGAGGTAAAAGATGCTTGGGAGATACTGGTGTTGAAACTCAAATTTGTTAGTCAGTACTTCCTCAAGCTGTTGGGGGGGGGATAGTGCAGGGCACACAGTGGCCTGGGAAGTGCTGCTATCATCTGCTCAAATGCAGCTCATTTTTCTAAAAGTACTTGACATGTTCAGCTGGCTATTTTGTGCTGCCAGAGAAAATACCACCTGTATTCAAATCACACTTGGAGCTCAGACTTACCTACGAACGCATCATGGTCAAAGAATCTTTCCTGACTATTGCTGAAAATGCTTTGGTGCCTGTTTTGGTAGGAGCTTGTGAAACAGTGCAGGATTCCAAATTCATGGTTTTGCTTTTAGTGTCTGGGGTTTTTATTTATTTTATCATTTTACTCCTAGTTTCAGGATAAAGAGAATAGCTGAATGCTCTGTCTTTAGTCGTGATCATTGCCCTTAGTTTCTTGACCATTTTGGTTTCATTGATATCACTGACTCAGATGAAGAAAAGACACCTCGCATAACTTCCATTACAGACAAATTGCCCTGCTTCTGAAGTTTTCCTAATGTGATCAGAGAAATATTTAGTTATTTCTGAATCTCGAATATGTTCTATGAAAATGGAGACCCTAGTGGTTGTGCCTCAAGTCAGCCTAGCCACTGGGCGTGCTGCATGATGAATACTTTTGGAGAAGCATATACAAAATGGATATCACATGCAGAATTACTTTTGTGTGTTTGTTTTTTTCATTATAGAGATGATGATGACATCAATGATGTTGCGTCTATGGCTGGCGTTAATCTTAATGAAGAAAGTGCCCGAATTATGGCTACCAACTCTGACTTGGTTGGAACCCAGATACAGTCCTGTAAAGATGAACCCTTTCTTGCTGCTATACCTCTACATAAACGCATACTTGAAATGGGTGAGAAACATGTGCTTTTGATAGTGTTTCCTTTGGAGTTATGCGATTCTGAGTAACAGAATATGCTTAGCACTTAAGGTTGTTTAAGCGTTTTGTTACGTAATCTTGTATTACTAAACTTTCAAGGTTTTTGATAAAAGTAACTTAGTTATCTCAAGTTGAAAAAAGTAATATACTGATACTTTTATGCTTCATGCTTTCCCCATGTTTTTTGTATCCAAGGATCTCAAAGCTCTTTGCAAACATGAATTATTTCTCACAATCCTCCTTCATGTTTTACACATGAGAAGTTTGAAACAGAGAGGTAAAGTAAGTAGTACAGGTCACAGAGGACACCTGTGAATAACATTTAACAGAATGTTGAAGTTATCTGTCAAGATTTTCTTTCCCCGTACAAACCAGTTATTCAGTTCTTAATGCTTGCATCTATTTAAGTTCATAGTGATTTTCTTACAGCTTTTTTTCCAAAAGGTGTATGTATTTATCCTGGCAAAAAGGTGTATTTATTTATTCTGCTGCTTGAAAATAGAAGAAAAAAACTTTAGCAGAAAAAATAACGATTCAAAATTAGCTATGTTTTAAAGTTAGTAAGTGTGCTCAGAATGTATACTTCTTAATATACTATATGTGTTCTAGTACCTAAATGTATCTTTTTCAAAATAATTTTGGTAATGTTTTCAGAGCCATCAGTGTCTTAAGACACTAAGCTTAAATTGTTTAGGGGCATAAATGATACATATCTTTTAGAACTATGCTTATGTCACAGGTTAAATTTATAAAAATTTTAGGCATCTAGTTCTCATAATTGTAAAGATAAGACCAAAATCTTGTTACAAAACAGTACAGTTAGGTTTTTAAGTCACGTGGTTACTTCTGAGATGTTATTTGTGTTTATGTTCATTGAATTAATGGAAGTGTTTTTATATTGCAGTTGCAGGCAAAGTTCGTCATTGACTTACTGTCAAGCTTCACTCTTGTATTTTAGTTAGTGTCCTTTTAAATTCTCATGCAGAGAAACGAAATACTTTGCATGCTGTAGTTACAATATTGCGATGATGTGATGGTGGCATTATGTGATGCAGTCTGGGAAAGCGTGTGTGCAACATTTTGCGAGATGGCTTACCACCACCTGAGATGGGAAGCCAGAAAGGTTTTAATGAAATTTGAGAAACTGTTGTGAGGGATGCTTGCATAATAGTTTATACAGGTGTAAGAAAACAAAAAGGAAACAGACATAAAACTTAAAAAGAATGGGAAATCAGTAACAAATCTGCCATATAAGCCTTAATGAACTGTCTGGGTGTAACAATTGCTGCACAACATGAAGCTGTAATTACAAGTGCAGGACTTACAGGAATCTGTACATACTTTTAAGAGCCACAGAACCCATCGCACTATTCATCGCTGCCTTTTGGGGTTTGCTCCTCTCAGGAACAAATCCCTATGGCTGTTTTTGCAGCTTTATTGGCTTTGATAATTGAAGTGAAACTTTCAAAGCTTTTAAAAGCAGCTGCAGGGATTTACTTCTCAAAAGCAGTGAATCCAGAAGAGTGGCCACTCCTAGTGATCTCCTGCAGCCACTTTTAGAGCTTTATTTTGGCTTTACATGAAGCCTTTTATAGTTTTGAAACTGGCTGTGGGGTTCACAAGTGGCTACTATCTGGGATCTATGGCTCTTGAGGAGAGAATTCCTTCAACTGATTTTTGAAGTTTTAGAAGCTTGGTTTTCACTGTGTGTGGCCAGATTTGTTGTTTGCATAGGACCACACACAAATTTAGTGGTTTGTGCTACTGGGCACTTAAAATAACGACATTGTAAGTTCGCGGCAAAACTCAGTCTTACCATATGTTGCTGTGCCTAGACACACCAGGACTAAGCAAAGGAGGCTGTGACCTTCTCAAGCACATTAGGAAAAAGAAAGTGTGTTATGCTGAGTCCCCATTCTTCTGTTTTCTTTATGCCTGTTGACAAATGAGATAAAATAGATTGCTGCTTCCTACTTTTACCTGAATATGACTTAACCAGACCTTATCTTCTACCTTTAAATCTATTCATATTTAATGATCACTTTATTTTTAGGGCACATTTTTAATGTTTTAGCAAAAGAGAAATTTGTGGTATGTACAGTATTAGGAAATTGTTCTTCTCTCCTTTCTCAGAAGCTAGATCTTTCAAGTTTTCTGTAATATTAATCTCCTTCTCTCTTTCCTGAGTAAGAGCTCTGTCGAGCAGCTCAGTAGTGTTCCCCAAAGGCTGTTTCAGAGATTGTGCTTCCATTCACCAGAGTCAGAATATAAACTGCTAAAGTGAGAGCAGATGCTATTCAGTCCTTGGCAGTAACCACCAGCCAAATGCCTCAAAGTTATAGTGAAAGAGGTTTCTTAATATATTGTCCATTCTTATCTCTACTGTAACTTGGCAGTGTTATCATCCAAAGTTCATTTTCAATCTAAATGAGTAATATTATTATTGATCCTTTGAAATGGAAGAAGTAACTGAAAGGTAATTCATGCAAAGATACTCATCCACTTCCCACATGTGTCCTTATCCAATTTTGTATCTAGTGGTCTTTGGCTGGTAATCATTGCCATTAGTTCATGTAGGAAGACAGGGCTGTGACTGTTTCAAATTCTTCTTTGATGCAAAATCAAGAGTGGGTATTTCTTAGCAGGTAACATACTTCTTCTGCTATTTCATTCAGGATCATAAAAGTTCAAACCCTGATCTTTCTACGTGACGGCACAGTGAAACATACACAAAGAGTTGTAAGGCTTTTGTTTCTCTTTTTGGGAAGTTGAGACGCAGAGGTTGATGTTCTTCATGCATGTGCATGCTGATGTGCATACAAACTCTTCAAACTTTCTAGGCCTTTAACTTTATTAGTAAAATGAGTAGTATTTGTTTAAAGGGCAAGATAAGCTGATTAGACCCTCACAAATAATGCTGAAAAGTCCTAGCTTTTTCCTGGGGTTTTATGGGAGAGAAACAAGAAAAATAATCTCAATAATTTGTAATTGTTTTACTTTTATTCATTCATAGGCTATTTCTTGGTGGGTAAGAATGCTGTATTAGTTAGGTTTTAGAAGCTAGTTTTTGATATTCTGTGTTTCCACTGTTTACCAAAAGGGACAAAGACTTGAATGAATAAAACAATATGACTTAGCCATCATCCTGACAGTTTTCTCTGGTTTGTAACCATCTTGTGAAAATAAACTCCTTGACTCAGGAATTACTTTATTACAGCATTATTTCTGAGAGCAGAAAAGAATTAGGCTGCACTGTATTTTATATTTAATATTAGTGAAAGGTAGCAGGACGTAAAGAAGATGGGATAAAAGGTGACCGTTTTCATATTGCCTGGTAACTAAATCCATGGACAAAGGGAACAGATACATTGTGTACTTGCCTCAGAAGTCTTTTGACTGAGAATTGGTGGTCTAGTGGTTCCAAAAAATTTTGCTTTATATTTTGTGATCAACAGAGCATGATATCCTCAGAAGCTTAGAATCTGCAGCAGCTCATTAATTCCCACAGCTTTTGTTTTAATTGTAAAAGATTTCTTCTACAACCAGATGATGCCATTTTACTTTTACTTGGCTATCCATAAAACGTCACAACTTGTGGAGAATCTTAACCAAAAAGACTGTCTTAACACAATAATAATGAAACATAAGTTTGGCATACTGTATTCTTTGACTTAGATTGTTTCTCTCTTTCTCTTCACTTCCAGTGTTCTTCACCCAATTCTCTTCAGTTTTTACTGTTACAGAGCAGTGGTTGAATAGAATAATTACAAACGTGACATTATTAAGAACTGTGGGACTGGTTTGGCCATATTGAATACAATTTAACTGTCCGTCTTACATTTTCAAATTATTTTTACTTAAATATGTATGATGATGCATGTTAAAACATAAGGAAATAGCTTATCTGTGTTTTCTGTATTCTGGAGTGTATTGAATCTACTACGTGGCATCACAGTGGCAGCCCAGTTGTATGCATATGTATATATTTTAACTAAATAATTTGAATACTCTAGAGGGCATTTTTTATTGCTAAACCATCTAAAAACTGAATGGGATATCCTTCATGGAACCAGGCCAATAGATTTCCGACCCTCTATTTAGAGCATTTGTTACTAGTTAATAAGAGAGTCATTCTGTCATCTGCATTTCATCTGTTTGTTTGTCAACAGTTGTATTCATGTTTGAATGAGATGAAATTGTACTATTGATGATTGCTCTTTCATATACAGAGCGGTCCTAACATAAAAGTATACTTATTTCTCTGGTTGGTTTTTATAGCTGCTTAGATTACAGTTGTTGTGGGCTCTAAAATTCAGAGCTATCAGATTGCCTGTGAACCTAATTTTTTGTTGATGTGACTTAGTCATTTTCATTGTTGACTTTTAACTTTTTATCCGTCAGTTGATTTGTCTTCAAACAGAGATACTCCTTTTAATATCAGTTTTTCCACCAGCATCTTTCTATTCAGGATGACCTCTTTAAATACCTGTGGACAATAACTCTTGGTTGTGTTTGGAGATAGTTCTAACATGTACTTGTTCTTAAGCACAGCATTTTGAAGTCATGCATTGTCCTAATGACATGCTTAGTCCACTTGAACTGTACCTAGAGTGGTGTTTTCTATGATTTTGGTTGCTTTTTCTCAGGGGAAAAAAAAGTCATTTTAGGTATTGTATAATCCAAATTGCAAGTTATTGTGCATGCCCAATACATTGACTTTCTCTAGTTCCTATAAACTTCAGTAGGTCACCTGCAGAGATGTGGCAGGTGTAGGGATGTATCTACATCTGTAACTTAGTGCAGAGTTAGGGGTTTTTTTTCATTAGTATAAAACAAGCAATTTTCTAGAAATTTTATTTAGATTAGAAGGTGTGCACTGCTCCTAGTCTTCTTATCAATGTCCATACTTGTGATAATTTAGTTTCTTATGTTGAGATTAGAGTTTATTGTACATGTTCAGTAGAAAATCTGGT